CCTGCAGGCAGGTGGGTGGTGCCCGCAGGCAGGTGGGTGGTGCCTGCAGGCAGGTGGGTGGTGCCCGGAGGCAGGTGGGTGGTGCCTGCAGGCAGGTGGGTGGTGCCTGTAGATCTGCTGCCCCCTACTTTTTATCTTCTGAAGGGGGTCTGCTCTACCCTTCTACTGTTCTCGGTCATCCTCTCCAGCCCTGGGGTCTTTGGATTTCTCTTTGGCCTTCTAGCCCTGGGTATCTGGGATAGGACTACTGCCATTAGCGTGGATGATTTCCATCTGCAGACTGGGTTGCCCTGGCTGTAGAGCCGTTCCCTCCCGCACCCCAGCCCGAGCCCTCCAACCCCTTTGCCCTGCGCAGGACCCGACTCGTTGCACCGTTACCTTTGACTGAGTGCTCACCACGGGCCTAGCTCTCTGCTAAGCCATTTAACACCACTGCATTTAAGCCCCTCCGTGTGTTTTTACAGGAGAGGAAACTGAGGCTTGAGGAGGTCCCCTTGCTTCTTCAATTTCCCTCAGCGAGTGACCTGGTTGGTCACTAACCCTGGCCCCTGGACTCACGTGCTTTCAGCAGAGACACTCGACTGTTTTCTTTGCCGGTGTTTTCTCCTTCCCAGAAAAAGAAAAGACCAAGCTGCAGAAGCAGAGAGAGGATGAGCTAATCCAGAAGATCCACAAGCTGGTGCAGAAGAGAGACTTTCTGGTGGATGATGCGGAGGTCGAGCGGCTAAGGTGAGTGTGGGCTCCTGTCCCCGCGCACCAGGCTGCTGGAACGCAGGCTCGGCTTCCTCCTAGGCCCACCTTCTGCTGCAGGGTCTCCCAGTCTGGCCTGACAGGTGTGGCCTCAGCAAATGCTCCCAAACACTGGATCCAAATGAATCGCCAGCCTTGTGGCCTGAGGACCTGTTTCATGTTCAAAGGAAACTGGCATCCAGCTCCAAAAAAGTCTTGCGAAGGCCTTTGGGTCTTAAGTCAGTGTTATTCAAGGAGGTGACCGGGCAAGAATTACGTCACATAACACATGGCAGAGCTTCCTACACATTCTCTTCACTGACCTTTCTCCCAAGGCAAACTTTTCATCAAGGCACCTTCCGGAAACTTCCATCGGGTTTCTGCAGAAACCCCGCCCCCTGTACTGACTTGCTTCCTTCCCTGCCCTCTCCACTTCCCAGCTTCATTCTTTATCCTCCCCTTGGTGGCTCCAGTGCCCCCTTCCTAGCCCTCAGTCTCCTATTTGCAGATGCACCTGCCACTTTTTCTGGAAATCTGTGGGCGCTGGAGCCCTGGTGCACCTGAAGTCCCCTGACAAGGCCCGCATAGAAAAGATGTGAATGCTGATTCTCGAATATTTTTGTCCTGGAGCAGGGCCTTTGGAGCCCTCTGCAAGGAGAAAGGCTCACAGGGCCTCCTTCAACCCAGAAGGCAACTTCTTTATTGTCTGTGTCCTCCTGGGTCCTCCGAGGCCTGGAATGCACCTTGCCTGGCTCAGCCAAGCTGAGGAACGCTGCCTTCGTTCCTGGTGACCCTCGGAAGAGTTCAGGTGACTTGCTTTCTGACTCTGGCCATGAACTTCATGGGAGCACAGATGTCTAGGGTGACTCAAAGGTACAGGGTCAGGAGGGGGTGTTCCTCAGCTCGCAGCACCCTCAGCAGAGGCTGAGTCTTATAATGTCCCTGCTTCTGCGCTGGGATCTCACCTTGGCCCCAGGGAGACAGTTACTCCATTGTTGATAGTGTCTGTGCTTCTGAGCAAGTTCATGAAACACAACATGCATACGCCACATATGCGTAACACACAACAACATATGCACACCCGCCACACAGAACCCAGGGCAACATATATGCCCCAGCCACACCCAACACACAGCGTACCCACACCAGCCACCAAGCCTGACACGTGGTCTCACACACTTGACCTCTTGCCTCATTCCCTCGGTTCCTTAATGCTTTCCTTGCTTACTTTACTTTTCTCTTGTCTTTATACACCTATGTCCACAGGGAGCAAGAAGAAGACAAGGAAATGGCGGATTTCCTGAGAATCAAGTTAAAACCTCTAGATAAAGTAACCAAATCTCCAGCCAGTGAGTGCACATGTTATTCCTCATCCTCCCCCCATCCAAGAGAAAAGGAGATTTAAAAGAGGTCCGGGAGCCAGAGGGGGAACAACAAAATGCTATCTAGAGAGCAACCTTGGGTGCAGGATGGCATTGGGCAGGGCCAGCTTCATGAAGGGCAAGGTTGCTGTCAGGTTGCTCAGGCCCCGATGCCTGGAAGGGGGCGCTGTGCTCGCTTTCATGTTCTGCTGTTGCTCTCTTGAGATTCCTAATAGTTTCAGAATAAGGGGCCCCGCATTGTCACTTTGCACGAACTGTGCAGCTGGTCATGGTAGCAGCTGTCCCCTTACCAATCACAGGCTTCATGGATTTCTTTTCTTTTTTTTTTAATGTCTATTTATTTTTTTATTTTTTTTTTACATTTTATTTTTGAGAGACAGCATGCAAGTGGCGGAGGGGCAGAGAGAGAGGCAGACACAGAATCCGAAGCAGGCTCCAGGCTCTGAGCTGTCAGCACAGAGCCCGACGCGAGGTTCAAACTCACAAACCGCAAGATCATGACCTGAGCCGAAGTTGGACGCCCAACCAACTGAGCCACCCAGGCGCCCCTAATGTTTATTAATATTTTTAAGAGAGAGAGTCTGAGCGGGGGAGAGGCAGAGAGAGGGAGACACAGAATCCTAAGTGGGCTCCAGCTCTGAGCTGTCAGCACAGAGCCCGACGCGGGGCTCGAACCCGCGAGCTGTGAGATCATGACGTGGGCCGAAGTCCAACACTTACCCGACTGAGCCACCCAGGCTCCCCCGGCTGGGTGGGTTTCTTAGAAGGAGTTGTGTGGCCACTGAGGCCAAAAGGTGGGGGCTGAGGCTCAGGGAACTCTGGCCTCTGTTGACACTCAGAGCAAAAAGGGTTCCGTGTGAAATCAGTGTGGGAAGTGCTACCTATCTGACCCTCTGGTGCCAGTGTCCATTAGCATATAAAAGTGGTAACAGGTCCTGCTGTCAATGACCTGTTATAAGAAACAGATGCCCTATTCAAACTGGCCCTAGCAAAAAGGGGGCTTCAGAGGCTGGATGCTGTTAGAATGCCCTTGCTTTCCTGACTTTTCTTATCTCTGCCCCTCTCTGCATTTTCTCCTATTACACAGGCTTCTTCATGGGGCCCGAATTCCAGAACCAGAACTTAGCAGCAGCAAAGCAATACCATCTGTTCTTTCTCCTCATACCCAAACACATCAGTCTCAGAGGAATATTCTGATTGGCCCTTCTTGGATCGTGTTCCTACCTCCTAGGCCATCACTGGTATCAGGCTGGGATGCTGTGATTGGCCCACTCTGCATTGCATGCCCACTCCTGTAGCCACAGGGACATGTACTGTCATCAGAGGTGAAGGGACTGGAAATCTTGCTAGGAAGACAAAACCCAAAGGCCGCCACCATCTACTATGGCCACAAACTCAGTTTTTCCTGACCAGCTATTAACATCCCATGAAATATGGTTGTGGACTGTGAGGGAATAAAGAAAGAAGAAGGTCCATTCTGCAGGCCCTTAATATCCCAAGGCACATAGTCGCTACCAAAATCCAGCATCCTCAGGGGACTGTCTCTTCCGTGAAAGGCAAATTAGAAAAACTCCACCTAACCGTGTGGAGAAGGAGAAAGGAAACTTGCCTTCTATACATGGTGCTGGATAGCAAAAAATCTGGCAAGAAATCAAAACACCAAGCCTTCACCCCATGCAAGGGGCCAAATGTCCAAATTTACACTATTCTTCTAGTGCTGGGATCCAAAGTTGAAAATCTGAAACTAATATAAAGCCAGTGAAGGGGCACTTGGGTGGCTCAGTCAGTTAAGCATCTGACTTTGGCTCAGGTCATGATCTCGCAGTTTGTGAGTTTGAGCCCTGCATTGGTCTCTGAGCTGGCGTCTGGAGCCTGCTTGGGATTCTCCCTCTCCCTCTCTGACTGCCCCTCCCTGACTTGTGTTCTTTCTCTCAAAATAAATAAACTTAAAAAAAAGAAAAAACAACAGTGAAACCTCTAATCCCAACAAAGCAAATGCAATACTGTTCAGTAGGGACCCTTCTGTATCCCATAATATGTAACCCATAGATAAAACAACCTCCGTGAAGATGAGCTCTCAATAAAAATTTAAAACCCATGAATAAATGAACCACTGTGAGTGGAGTCGCCAAGAGAATGTCCTCCCAAGAACCAGAAATAACAAACTATCTAAAAGAGACAATAAAGTAAGTGTATTTAAAATAATGAGAGATAAGGGGCGCCTGGGTGGCGCAGTCGGTTAAGCGTCCGGCTTCAGCCAGGTCACGATCTCGCGGTCCGTGAGTTCGAGCCCCGCGTCAGGCTCTGGGCTGATGGCTCGGAGCCTGGAGCCTGTCTCCGATTCTGTGTCTCCCTCTCTCTCTGCCCCTCCCCCGTTCATGCTCTGTCTCTCTCTGTCCCAAAAATAAATAAAAACGTTGAAAAAAAATTAAAAAAAATAAAATAAAATAATGAGAGATAAGAGAAGGGATAAAACCCAAAATGAAATAGCAGGATTGCATGAAAAAAGAATAGGTAGATTTACAAAAATTCAGCTTTCTAAACAAAACCATCTAGGGTCATGGAAGTAAAAACCCAATGGGTTAAACACAGCTGAAGGGAGAATTCGTAAACTGGAAGACAAACCTGAGGAAATTACCCAGCATGTAACACAAAGACACAAAGAGATGGAAAATGTCTTCCAAAACATGGAAGATAGAATAATAAGGTCCAACTTATTTCTAATAGGCATTCCAGAAGGGGCGATAACGGACAAGAGGTAGAGGTATCTGAAAAGATGACGTATGAGCATTTTCCAAAATTGAAAGACAGGAGCCCTCAGATTGAAACAACTTGGACAAAAGTTCCCATGTATCCGTTCACCAAATACTTTGAATGCCAGACCCTGTGCTAGACCTGGCAGAGAACTGAATAGGATAAGAGCTAAAGTTTGTGGTTGGAAGCTGAGGACTGAACACCACTGGGCCCACAGGGAGGTGGGAACGGTCACTGGAACCATATAAAACACATGCCAGCTCTCCACAACACCTGATCTGTGGAGCTGGAGCAATGTCTGGCCAGGAGTTGGGATGGGACAGGGGATGCAGATGGTCAGGGCTCTCTTCATCTCACCTCTTCCTCTCTCCCTCTTTCCCTCTCTCCCTCCATGCCCCTACCCTGCTGCAGGCTCCCGAGCAGAGAAGAAAGCAGAACCCCCACCTAGCAAGCCCACAGTGGCCAAGACTGGGCTGGCACTCATCAAGGATTGCTGTGGGGCCACCCAGTGCAATATCATGTAGCCCCCAGTGTGGGGTGCCCCCAGGGCCGCGGGGACCCCGCCTCCCACCCTCTTGTCTTCATAGCCCCCATTTCACTGGGGCCCAAGAGCTCTCCAAGGTGGAAGGGGTTGAAGGCAAGCCTGTGACTGCCGCCAGGGGCCGTGGGCGTGGCGGGCGGGCCCGGCCGCCCTGTACAGAGTGTAGCAATAGGGAGTCCCTCACCGTCGCATGGCCCTCCCCAGAGCATGCCAAACCCAGGACTCTGTCTCACTGTTTATCCAACCACCAGGAAAGGCCCTCCCTTGAAAAAGTATATCTCCACTTCTGTCTATCTATATCTAACCCACTGTGCGAATGAACTGGGAGAGGGGCATGATCCCCAGGTGTGTATAGTCGTGACTTTTCAACAATCTAGCACCATGTTGGACACATCCCCCATCCACCCTCCTAGCTCCGCTGTCAGGCCTGCCCCACATGGGCACAGCTCCCGTCCCCCATCTGTCCTCTCCCAGGGGCTGTGCTCTGGAGGGCTCCACACAGTCCAGACGTCTTGGAGACAAGAGGGTCCATCCATAAAGATTGAGCTTGTGTGTGGTGTTGTGGTTATGTCTCCTGCTTCCTCCCTTCCTGTGTCTGGGCACGGTTCACATCGGGAGTGTGTTCACCGGCTCTTGGCTCTTCCTTCCCTTGCGATGTCTGCCCCAGATGTGTGGAGCACAGTGGGGATGAGGGCCCAGGCTGGAGCACAGCCAGTGCTCGAAAGAGGTAGCAGAGGGCCAGAGGCTCCGACACCAGGCAAGGGCAGATGAGGAGGGGACCCAGAGCAGATGCTGACCCAGGCTCTCTCCGCCCACCGGGGACCACCGGAGGGACTGCCAGCAGGACACCACTCACCAGCCTAACACACAGACCTCTGGAAACAGCAGCGGCGGGCGGGAGAGGTGGCCTGACCCAACTGTGTCCCATCATTCGGTGGTGTGTTTTAACCAGCCTAATAATTCCACCTGTGTAACTTGATGTACATTTGCTACAGCCAGCTCGGCACAGCCCGTGTGACCTCTCTGTACGTGTGTGTATGTGTCGTGACCGGCCTAAAGTAGTTAGCGTAACTCAAGATGTGCTGATGTGCAATCATCCATCGGAGAAAATAAAAATGGAAACCAAGTACACAGCATTTTTAAAGTTTTTACTTTTCTTCTTGATTGTGGAAGTAACCCCAGGACACAGTAAACCATTTTAAAAGTAGAGAAAGGATAAGGACGTTGTTTGTTTTCTGTTTTTATCTCCCACAAATTTTCCAACTAGAGACCACGCTGACATTTGGGAGATTTCCTTCCAGGTTTTTTTTTTTTTTTTTTTTTTTTATGCTTTTTTGTTTTGTCTTGTTCCCATGATTGGCATCATATTGTACCATTTATAACCAGTTTTCCTTTCTCATTTAGCATTATTATCACTATCGTTTTCCCACGGCATTAAAAGCTGTTTGTAACATTAAACGCTCTTCATAAATATTCACAATGGCTGCTTAGTAATCCATCTTGTGGCTATGACTTTATCTAACCATTTCCTTCCTATTGGACATTTAGGCTACTTCTACTTTTTAAGTCTTATCAAGATGTCACAGAGCGCCTGGATGGCTCAGTTGGCTGAGCGTCCGACTCTTGATTTCGGCTCAAGTCATGATCCCAGGGTCGTGGGATCAAGCCCTGCCCAGGGCTACGCACGGAGCATGGAGTCTGCTTGAGATTCTCTCTCTCTCTCTCTCTCTC